GCCTCCAATTGGGGCTCCGTCAATGCAGAAAAAGAACTCACATCTCCAAAAGGCAGGACAACCTGCAGAGCTTGGCTTTGAACAAACATAGCTGGCAGCACGCACATCCCCTCCTCCAGGCCTGGAGGTCAGGGCTGGGCCAAGGCAGCTGTCACGTGGGCACACACCTGAGAGACCTCCAGAACCCAGGGGGAAAGTGCCTCTTTTTGCATAACATTACAACCCCATGAGGGTTCTTCTGAGAATAAAGAGCAAATCCTGGGGTAGTTCCCAGCTTGCAGTTGAAAGAAAAGAAAGTGCTTTTGGCTGATTCCTTTTAAACTCCAATTCACAGCGCCAACCAGCTGTGATAGCTCCAATTACAAGTTCAAAGATTTCTGGGCCACAGAGAAGCTTTCTGTCCCGGCTCCAGATGGAAGCACCAGCAGCGCCCACTCCCCCACGCACAGGCGCAGAAACCTTGCTGCAGTGTGACATCAAGGGGATTGCGGGCAGAGAACGGCCCGCCCACTCCCCACAAGGTCAGCAGCAGCCTCGGGCCCAGCCCCTTCCTCACATCACATCTGGGAGTCCCTGCCTTCAAACTTTGCACCCACAGGGCCCCTGGTCTTAGAGACTCATGTTTCATCAGGAAAATGCCATCTCCCCATCCAAAGCTAAGCCCGAGTGGTAGTTGAGTCCTGACCCCCCAACCTGGTCCTCAGAGGCCCTTCCAGAGCCCTGTCCACCTTCCCACTAGCTCCAGGGTCAGTGACCAGGGAAGCCCTTCCCCTCAGAGCCTGGGTTTTGCTCTTTCTGAGGTGAAGTGTTCCAGGGGGGCACCCTGAGATTGTGGGGGAGCCCAAGGTCAAGGGACTGCCCTGCCCGGGGGAGCTGCTCTAGAGGGGAGCTGTCCAGGACAGAGGCTGCTGCAGGGAGGAATTCCCTTGGGGGCCCAATTACTGCACCAACCTCAGTTCAACCACACCAAATAAAATACCCACCTAAGCACCATCTGGGTCACTCACTGATGCTGACAAGAAAAGAAAAAATTTTTGTCTCAGATCAGGTTGAGCTCTGTGAGGTATGCAGACCCAGAGAGACATGAGAATGAGACTTCAGTCATGCCCCTGCTCCCCACACCCACGCCTGGGGCAATAATGTAAAGTAAATTTGTTGGACGGTGCGTGGCTCAAACCTGTAATCCTAGCACTTTGGGAGGCCGAGGTGAGGTGATTGCCGGAGCCCACGGGTTCGAGAACAGCCTAGGCAACCTGGTGAGACCTCGTCTCTACAAGAAATCAAAAAATTAGCCAAGCGTGGTAGCACACACCTATAGTTCTGACTGCTTGGAAGGATGAGGAGGAAGGATCACCGGAGCCCAGCAGGTTGACTCGGGTGGCCGTGAGCATGTCACTGCACTGCGGCCTGAGTGACAGAGACTCCAACTAAACAAAAATTAAAAATAAATAAAGTAGTTTTGTTCTAGACTAGCTGCCTCACTGACAAT